GTGACCTGATGACGTTTGTAGTGTCTTTTTTTTTTTTTTTTTGAGTATTGGGTTAGTGCTTTCTCTGATTATTATATATAATAAAAGCGATATGCTTATTTTTGCAGCCTTAGAATTTGACTTCAGAGGATTTGTAAGACGTAGCTGATGGTATTTGACTGATTCCACTGTACTTGAAGATTAAAAAAGTGTATGTTTTGTCTGTCTGTGTGGCACGCGGAGAAAGGGCGCTGTCAAGTTCAATAAGGTTTGGAAACGCCAATCTTTCAGTGCGATCCTCGACATGGGAAGTATATGGCGGTATGCCTTCTTTATCGTGGTGATGTTGTACCGAAGGATGTGAATGCTTCCATCGCTAGTATTAAGACGAAGCGTACCATTCAGTTTGTTGACTGGTGTCCAACAGGTTTCAAAGTATGTTTTAGACTATGCTGTTGAGTCTCGAATTATCTTAATTGATATATATATATATATATATATATATATATATATATATATATATATATATGGGAATCCTAGTTCTTTTAGGTTGGCATAAATTATCAGCCACCTACAGTTGTTCCTGGTGGTGATCTGGCGAAGGTGCCTCGTGCTGTTTGTATGCTTGCGAATACGACGGCAATAGCGGAAGCGTGGGCAAGACTTGATAACAAATTTGATTTGATGTATGCAAAGAGGGCTTTCGTGCATTGGTATGTCGGAGAAGGCATGGAAGAGGGAGAGTTTTCAGAAGCGCGAGAGGATTTGGCAGCTCTCGAGAAGGACTATGAAGAGGTTTAAGCATTATAATCTGCCTTTGAAATTAAAAGTTATTTTTAAAAGCATTTTCTTGATGCCTTTGAAGTCTCTGCTTTCGTATTTAAATATTTTTTTTTAGTAAGCTTTCTTAGAAAAGTACTTATTTCTTTTTTGAAGGTGGGAATTGATTCGTTGGAAGGTGAAGGCGAAGGCGAAGAGTACTGATTTTCAATAGAAATTGTTTGCAGCAAGTCGTACATTTTGTTGCTTGTTTCTTTTTGATCCTTTTCATTTGAGTTTTATTTCCGTACCAAGAATAATTTTCTGTTTATTCATTAAGCAGAAATGTCTTATCTGTTTCGTTAACAATAAACGATACGAAAAGTTCATCAGTCTATGTTTGCACTTGTCATTCGCAAAGTATGGCTTATGCTAGCTTTTTGTGGACGTTTTTTTTTTTTTTCACCTGTAATGTTGCGTTATGACATTTTGCTAATTTGAAGGAAAAGATTAAGGAGGAAAGGCAATATGGATAGGAAAGGATAGAAGAAGGTATAATAGAAAAGGATATAACATAATTCATTGTTCAATAAGTGTTCATTAAGTAAGAGTTCAGGTAGTACTTATGGTGGTTGGTGCATGATGTGATTAGGTGGGGTCAGGCCGTCCTATGATTATGTGAGTTGTAGCTGAAAATGTTACTACGAATAAAAAACCTCACCGTTAGAATTGCAGGTGAGCGACATTTTATATTGCAAGTTGGTCTGGTGTCTACACATTTTGCACTGTCTACACAGAAATGAGGAATTTTTCGACCCAGTGTTGAATGTCCGTTGTCCTCAACAGTTTATCACCACCGGTAGCATATGTCGGAAGTCTTTCATATGTCTTCCTTTGTTAATAAAGAACATGCTAGCAGTGGTTTGGGAAAAACTCCGTTCACAGTTCACAGTTTGCTTTTGACAGAGAACCATTTTACTACGCAAGTCGTAAGTTAAGGGGTTCCGAATTCTTCATGAATTTGTTGCGACATTAAGCAAATATCTGACTTTAGTTGCTTTTAGGACGAAATATTGCTGTTGTAAGCTCACCAGTTCCTGAAGGCCTGTCAATTTTACGCGGGGTACATCCTTGTGCCCCAAAATGTGCTTCATGGAATAGATGGTAGTTCGCTGAGCTTGTCATAAGTTGCCCATTATGTTCAGTAATTAGTTTCGTATTAGTTTTCAAACATTGGTTAAGACATTCAGTCTTATATTTACTTTTTAAAAAGGATTTCCAATAGGCATCATTCTATTAATATAAAGAACATTTTACTATAAACACTTTAGTTGTTTTACCCAGAAGATGGAATAATTATTATGGCGCCGAAGGAGGAAAAAGTGTGTTGAAAAACTAATAAAAAATAAATTTTTGCTAATTGCGAACCGAGAAAAGCGTTTTTTCGTAACTCCCCACTAAAAAATGCATGTCAAATAATATTGATTATTCTTTCTTGCATAAAACCATTAAAGTACTAGTATGCTGGTACTGCTAGTTGAGACTTTATATTTGTCAAAAAAACTGTCGAAAATCTTTTTTGAAGAAATGGGTGTAAAAGTGATTAGAATTTACCTGCCGTTAAATTCCAGTGCAAAATTTTCACAAATTGAGGTACGCAGATTGCCTCGAATTTGCGCCTATGCTCCTGAAACCGTAACAGGAAACAGGAGATTTTACTCATTAAATAATTTTGTGATTTACTGATTGAAAATGTCTGGTCAAGAGTTGCTCTTTCCACTCTTTATTTGCAGTTTTTTTTATTCTTACTTAATGAGCAAAGTTGAGATCATAAAATAATTGTGTAAGCCATGATTAGCTTTTAATCAGAAATTTCATAGCAGTGCAAATCGCCATACCTACCCTTTGTGACATCATCGTCCAAATTTTTGGGCACTGTACACCGCATCAAAAATTTTCAAACGTTAGAAGAAAACAACAGGAGACAAAACAAAACATGAAAGTCAGTCAAACTGATCTATTTGCTATGAGAAGCCATTAATTGGCAATTATTTTTTTTCTGTTACCTTCGAGGCAATGTGTATGCGAGGAGTTTTAGATTGCTGATCACTGAACGATAGTGTTAGATTACTTAATCCGGCGAATATACTTGGAAGAGCGAGCACATGCAGGTTGATAGTCGATTCAGAGCTAGAAAGAGCATCTCTCCCTTATGAAAAAGATGTTTTTGAAGATTGGCTTTAAAACCATACTTTTCTGGCACGAATTTCTGATGAGCTCATTTCTAGGGTTATTGTTTGGAAACTGCAAAAACATGTATTAGTACCCAAGAAGGTAGTGCAATCGACATAATGTCACAACTGTCAATGAATGGGTGAACTAATCCATTAAGAAAATTTTTCCCCTTTTTGTTCCACTGCTTTCAATCTGCAGATATCCGCAGCAATCTGATACTGTGTCAAATGAAGGAATGGTTGTTTCGAGATAGTGCTTGTCGTTATTAGATGCTCTTCCGAAAGAGTGATTTGACTTTGTGTTGACGAGAAAGCTTGTTTTAAGCTATCATATCCACAGAAGATGTCATTTTTTCCATAACATAAGTTAGCTTGAGATGTGTCACTGAAAAAGTTTTTAAGCATGAAATTCGACCCACTCTTCTTGGAATACAAAGAACGTGAGTTAATTAGAGGTTAGTAATTTGTAAAATACATCTGAAGGGACATCCCTAAACGGAAATATGCAACTGTGAAGGAATTTGTTTATGAATAAAACAAGATGAAAAAAAAAAACTTATAACGACAGAAGCTTGGATATTGAAAAGAAGACGGGCAGAACGGGTCAACAGTGCAACAGGTAGAAGAAAATAGGATCGAGGTCACTTCTCACTCGATAGAGGGTCATTTGCACACAGATGACCCTTGCATCACTTATTTCTTTGTTTGAATGTTGACCCGTCCTGCCCACCTCATTTCAGTATCTGAGCTTCTCATCTTCTACAAGTGCATGAGTTGAGCTGCCCCTACTGAACGTCAGCTCCAAAGAAATCTAACGACTCATTTACTATTTTAGCACTTCACTTTATTAGCTTGAAAGATATTTGCTCTCTTCAACAGATGGACTAAAAAGAGTGACTAAGTGCCAGAAGCTCAAATGATTCCATTATGCTATCTAACTGGTCAGTCACTTGACCAAGCTATGTTATGAGGAAGGGCAGTAAATTGTAGGAATAAAAAAAGCTTCAGTGATCACTGACTGTAGCAAAAAACTCCCTTCAGGAGTTTATCCCGATGACTGACACAGCCCTGTTACGTCAGTATTCACTGTCCATTACTGTCCCACCTTCCCGGCATCTCCCAGTACGCAAATATCGATCTAACGTCGCTCGTACAAAGTCATGGCGGGAACACGCTCACCCATCTGTTTCTCCCTTACTCTTTCCTTTTCTCCTCATCTTCCCTCTCCCTCTCTCAGTTCCTCTCTTCTTCTCAGCTTCTTCGTTTTCTCCGTGCATTTCGTCTACAACGGAGACATAAACAGCATACTAAGCCATCTCCGGCGCGGTTGTGAAATAATGTGGACAGTCCTGCGTTTGCCTTGTATGTGATTTGCAAGATTTGTTGTCGTTAGAAGTTCATTTCAGGTCGATTTTCATTTTTAATACTAGTTTCTGTGCAGTGTAGAAGGGCAAACTCTACTGATAAGGAAATGATAAATTCGTTTTGTTTGAAATTTCAGTTGATCTTTCCTTAATTTCGGTCATATTGAGACGCAGATCACAAATAATTTTTTCAAGAGTTTGTCCGTTATGAATCTAGCATAGATCACAGAAAATTGATTGATGCATAAATTGATTGATTTCGGTGTTACACTCCGATTAAGTAAGGGTGGTTGCCAAACTTCTCGTTCGTGGGTTCCACATGCTTACTTTCTCATGTCTCATCTCAAGTGTTGAGTTCGAAAATCATTAGGGGCTTCCAGCCTTCCCACTGTACAGTATTTCCTGATGGTAAAATCCTGAAGATTTACACTCAGCTTAACAACGTGCACTCAGTATTATGATTACATTATGTTCAACAGTAAAGTTAAAATCATGAGCTATCTTCCGGTCATTCAAATGATTCATCAGTTTCCTTTGTTTTGTTTTCGGCTTTAATATCGGGTAACTAATGAACTACCCGATATTAAAGTCATAATTTTTGCGTGTAAAGAGCAGTATACTATGTGGTGCTTGATAATCTAAACGGTTTTACAGTACCTACATTATGGCTGGAGGTAAAGGCAAAGCAGGCAAGGATTCTGGCAAATCTAAGGGTAAAGTCATATCGCGAAGTGCACGTTCTGGCTTGCAGTTTCCTGTTGGACGTATTCATCGCTTCCTAAAACAGAGGTATATTTTTTGATGGACAGTGCTTCCAAAGATTTAAAAGCGAAGCAGTTACTTTCTCTTTCTTTAATTATATTAAGTTTTCATGAGTCATGGCTTTTAATCTGTTGGAATATCTGCTGTGGAGTTTCTCATTCTCTTACCAACTGATTTGTTGCAATTCTGCAACTTTCTGGTCATGTTCGTACTAGATTTTCTTTACTTACACTTTTACAGTACTTTTAGAAATCTAAGTTGAATTGCAGAACCACATCACACGGACGTGTTGGTGCTACAGCAGCTGTTTACAGTGCAGCAATCCTGGAATATCTAACTGCTGAAGTACTGGAACTGGCAGGCAATGCTTCCAAAGATTTGAAAGTGAAAAGGATCACACCGAGGCACTTGCATCTGGCAATACGAGGCGATGAGGAACTAGACACACTGATAAAAGCCACTATTGCTGGTGGAGGTCGGGTGTTTTTTTCTCTAAAATTGTCACATCTGTCGGTAGAAACAGAAAGAAACTGGAAGGATGAAGGGCGAAATTTTTTGAAATTTAATACCACTTTGGTCGGTTTAAATGATTTCGCATATTATATTTGTTATTCATTGCAGTGTCTACTTATTTTAGGTGTGATTCCGCATATTCATCGTTACCTAATGAGCAAGAAAGGACAGCCGACTCCAGCTCAGAAACAGGGTCCAGCCTGAGCTAATCATCTCTTATGCATTTGGCTATTTATGGTTTTAATTATTTTCATATTTTGCTTCAAAGTTGTTAGTTTACGCTGGTTATATTGTATTTGAAGTACCACATTTCAGTCATATTTTACTCCATCTTTTTTCATTTGCACTCATATCACTGTGTCGTTTTTATCACATCGCACGAATAATTTGGCGATGTAAATGTTTCACGTAATCGTCTCATCACTTATAGGAGAGATTATGTAGCTTTACAGCTTGCAAGAGTATGATTAAATAATAGTATGACGTAAAATTGTGAACTACACGGCGATTTCAAAATTATATTTGTATCTGATGTCACTTTGTATTTCCTCTATTTCTTGATATTAATATATCTTTCTCTTTTCTTTTAATTCTTTAGAAATTCGGATTTTAGTGCAGAAAAGTTTCAGATCTCTTCTTTATCGTTTTGCTTTGTGGATTCTAAAAAGTTCCCTGTCGTATGTTTAGAAGTGAAGTTTGAAACTATCGATGCTATGTTCGGATTTATACTATTTCCGTGTCCTTTTCACAAGAGGATACGAATATGCAGTTGCATCTTTAATGAGAACTGAAATCTTGTTACCAGTATCATGGATTCGTGGTGAAAGTTATACATTGCATGTTCACTTCTATAATGCAGTGTTTTCATGTTATCATCAAGAATACATTCCTAAATAATCCCAAATCCAGTAATACATTAGGCTGGGCATTTTGGTCGTAGCCAGTTTTAATATGCGACATATTCTCAGCTTGCTCAAATCATCTGTGGAGTCGAGCTACCCTCACTGTCATTAGATTTGTTATAGCGTTTCTTTATTTTTGTTCAACAAAACAAAGCGTTTTAAAAGGAAATGTCTGTCCCAAAAGGCTTTAGTTGGACTATGGTGTAAGTGACTTCTGTAATCTTTTAATGTTTTCTTTCTAAAATACTTTTTGTTCCGAAAAATAAGGAAATACTATACTACATTGAAGACCGGATTTTAGGATGGAGGAGAGCTCACGAGAAAACAAGATATTTTTTAGAAGCATTACAGCGTCCATCTGATTTTAAATGTTACTATTTCAGGAAACTAAAGTCTAAAAAGAAAGTAATGAAGCTTAACACCAAGCGACCTTGGGGGCGGTTTTTCAAGTAGTTAGAATGACGTTGTCCATTTACGACTTAAATTTGTTTTTATAGACTCGAGATTGTTGGTTGTTATTTTTTCGTGAACGCCATGAACTGATTGAAGTTGTTACTAACAATAATTTAAGGAATTGGTCTGAATTCATCCGATTAGTAATGTGAAAAATATATGTCGTCTAACAAGAAATTCCTTTTTCCTTGATTAATTTAGTATTTTAATGAGATTTAAGCAATAAAAACGACATCTGGGGGAGTGTTTTAACTGGAGCATCAGGAATCCACTCTTACTGATATTACATTTGCAAAGGAAGCTTGTCTCTGCTATCTTACAGATTGGTCAGTGGTTAAAATACGAATATGTTTGTGTATGGTATTTTATGTGTGTATGTGTAAAATGCTTTGAACTATTTTATCTACTATTACCTGGCTGCAGTTCGGCATCTACCTATTTCTCACATACAGTGTACTAATAAACTCTGCAGCTCACTTAAGTTGGCGGAAAATCGTGAGCAAAGCGAACGAGAGAATAATTTCAATTTATTCAATCTGACATTCAAGATATTGTATATACAAAATCAATTTAAAAAATTCCTTAACCTTTGTGAGGTCTAAAAATTTTTAAATTTTAATTTCAACTTTAATTTTAAAAACTTTAAAATTTTAACTTTAACTTTTTCTCCTTTTCCAGATTTGCCTGCCTTTAGTTTTTTAATTCAAATAACTTTATTCTCTTCTCCTCCCTCTTTTTATTCCTGAACCTTCCTGTTATTGTAACACTGCTAGGATCCTAATCATTTCAACCTTCTACCATGGTTCCTGCAGGAATCAGTTTCATCCTGGCAGATTTAGGGATAACGGTTCCCATCCAGAATTAATCCAAACATAGCACCCAAACATAAAATTAATCCAAAATTGATGTGAGGTGATTTGCTGCGGAAAAAAAAACTGATTTGTTCTCGCTTCTATCCCGTTTCTTAATCTCATGAATTAGATTTTTTCAAGTAATGTTAGCAATCCATCCCCGCTTTGCAACTTGCTTTCCATAAATCCGGTAATGCAGTCCCTGCTTTTCCATTCCTTAGTAGAAGCATTTTAATATTTGCCAGATATTCTGACCAATTCTCCGTTTTTCTTTTACTAGTGCGCGATTAATACAATAGGGAAGAGATTTTTTTCCATCCACATTTGCATTCAGTTCCTTTCAGTTTAATAACTTATGTGAGCCCCGTTGCTGACCATCAAAACGCTTACTGGGTATTAAGTATAACAAAGCATACAGCAACGAAATTTTTGAAATCCGAAGGTAGTTATTATAAATAAATTCAACCGGATCCATCAGTCTTAACAAAATGAAGTGATTTTTGTTTTTTATACTTGGTGCATTAATGTTTTTCGATTATGAAATGTGAAAAAAAGAAAAAAAAAACTAAGTGAATGAATGCAGCATGCTGCACTTATCCATATTTATTAGTTGAATGCTAGAGTTTCGCGCTGACGATGTGTCTCACAATGCAGTTCAGCAGGCAAGGGTAGGTAAGACACCATGAAATCAGATCATTTATACCAAAGTGGCTATCAAATCAGGAATCAGAGAACGACATACACATACATACACGCCACAGTGCAATACTTTCTGAGATATCGGACACGAGGAGATAGTATAATTTGGAAGAAGGTGAACAAGATAAGAAAAATTAAATATAGCATTTTGCATTTTCAACACAGATCGAATTGTGAGTTTGTTTGAAAAGTTGATAAAAACGACAGAATATATTGTATGGAATGAGTCTTACACGTTTACGAAGTGTTTTATGAGGTTAGATGGTCAGGGGTGCTAACAGATCAAATTCAGAATGCAGATGTTCTTGTACGTTATGTTCTTGGTCATCATATCTGCAAGATGTACATATGTATTGAATTTCATTCTTTTGTTTGATTCACTCAACATGACACAAGGATGCAGTAGCTTTTGAATCATCATCAGTTAACTGACCACTTTGAAAAGGTCGCAAAAGACTGATTACATTTCGAGCATATAAAATCGTATCAATTTGTTGACTTCTCAGTGGACTTCTTGACCACTCGGTATCTGGCAATAAAACTTGCTTTAAGTTATGTTATAATTTTTTTAAGACCATGACATAAAAATATGTCTGACGTAAAGCTAAGCTAAGGGGAAGTTTACATGTTATGAAGTTCACTCGTACAGCCACGATGAAAATCCTAAAGGCTTGACGGAAGTTATGAACAACAAATGATGGGATGAAAATGCCTTCTTTGCTGTTGAATGTGAAATAGTATTACAAAAGTGATTAGAAATGTAATTTCAGCAAGAAACATTGCCCATTGGATGACAGCAGTCGGTGAGAGTGCTGCGTTCTAGCACGGGTCTCTTTAATAGGGCTCCTTTGCAACTGATAAGGCTTAACAACGACTGCTTGTGGGTGAGAGAAGATGTTGGTAGTAATTTGCTTGTTTTGACGAACAGTGTGAGACCATAAAACATTCGATTCTCATTGTAGTGGATTTTTTGACAAATGCAAACTGAATCTGTAAATCATCGCTTCTTCATTCTTTTGACTGCATATTCTTTTGTGCTACGTACTACTGCGTATCATATAAGATTACTCCTTCACTTTTTCTGAAGATCACATTTTCATTTGCTCTTATGATTTCCATCATCCCTAAACTTGTAACCTAAAACTTTCAAGTAGTAGAAGATCTAGGACTTTGTTTACTATGCAGTTTATGTACCAGTGAGATTGCTAACAATTATTTATAGCATAAATTAAAACTTCACCTGGTTGCGTAAACTTATTGATTTAATGTAGTTGGCTGAGCTACACTTGCAGTCTTCTCTATTACTGTTGAGAAATGTAAATTTTTCTGGATGAAAACTTACTGTTTCAGCAGTTGTGATCTACAATGTTTTCGAAAAAATAAAGACATATTTCAGATCCACATTTCATATATGCCGCTTGTTGAAAACCTGCATTATATAAAGACATCCGTGTAAGGTTTTATGAAATCTTACAGAGATATCTATAGATTATTGGGTGCTTTCCGCGTTTGGCATAACGTTTCTTGTAATTTTCTGAGTTGGTTGGAAGAGACTAACAATGTTTACTGTTAAGATTTTCGGTCTCTGGTTAGAGTTTTATAGTTGTATGGTTGAATAGTTAATATTAGAGGCTAAAAGTGATGTACGAGACTTATGTCGTCTCCTGGCTAGATTTGTCCATTCGTCAGCCGTGCTTGTTATTGTAATTTCACTCTTTTCTGCTCAATTTCAAAAATTTTTCTACAGAACTTATTCATTATTTCGTGAAGAGAGCTGAAATGTGCCTTATATGCCATTATATTCTATCGTTATTCTCTACTTCCATTTTTTACCGTAAAGTCTTAACGCTTTTCAGTTTTTCAAGCATATTGTGCATGTTTGAATAAATCTTAAATTCTGATTTATGTGTAAAATTTGCTCCTGTAGCCTATTAAAGGTACAATTTTTAACCGGTGTTGTATGTTTATTAATGAGGACTTTTGTAGGTATGACAGAGGTGCTCCTTGGACATGATTTAATAAGGTCTCCACTCGACCTGAAAAAGATGTCGGAGAATTCGCTAAAGAATGGAGCACCACGTTCTGAATTCTTTTTGATGACCGGTGATAAAATGATCAGTTTGAACCATAAAATATCTCCTCGATACGCCGAGGTTATTTGCTAGTGAAATGCTGCTTTAGAATTGTTCTGTAAAAATTTATTACAAGAAATAAATAATCAGGTGCATTAAAAATAGTATAAAAATTTGTTAAAGTCTATTCCTAAGAATATTTTATCCGATTTTTGTCTTTTCAGATC